TTCGGGGGGGGGGGGAGGGGTTATTATGTACTTGGGCCTATGGTTTCGTGTCTGCTAGTGTGTCATCTTTTCTGTGTTCGGACACTCTTGCGGAGCAAGAATATAATTGTCATATGCATAGCCAATAAGAATGCTGTGTTGTATCTTTTTCAATTGCAAGACCACATAAATATAGTTACCTACTGTTATGTTTTGAAATGTGTAACTTATGTAGAAAGCAATGGAATGATTGCATTGGATACCAAATGATAGGGTCCTTAGGTTTTCTTTGCATGTGATGTTTTTATATACCATTTTTTTTGGGAAAATCACATCATATCTCCAATGGTTGGATATCAAATGATAGGTCCTTAGATTTTCTTTGCATGTATTATTCTTTTATAACACTTTTTTTTTTGAAAAATCATATCATATCTCCAGTGGTTGGCCCATGCATAACAATTTCATGGTTCTGTTGGATGGAGAATTCGTTTTTGCAGCCTCATAGTAGTTTGCAAGTTTATAGGCATTTACGCATACTAGGACACCCTTTTGTGATGCCTTTATATATTGACTATCAAAGGGAAAAGATTGAAACATGACTCATCCGAAATGAGCTCAACAAGAATTTTTATACTAAAATCATGATATATCTTCTGTTCATGATTTTATTGAACTGGGTGGGGGTAGAGATGTTGGAAGAGCTGGCTGAAATAGCTGAACTCTAAACTATTATTTTTTACTGACTTTTAATATAAATCCCATTTTCCTTAACTTCTTTGGCAGAGGACTGAATCAAGAGTATTTGTTTTCTTTTTACGGATCATTTTTTCACAATGTGCTGAGTAACTTTATTTTCTGACCGTTAGCTGGAGCAATCTATTGAGGAATTGATTAAGATCGGTTTGGTATAAGTTTATTTGTGGGAATAAAGGTGTAAAAGTATGCGTGTGGTCAAGGTGTATTTAATGAACCATATCTTTCTGGAGGCTTACATCCCTGAGTGCTGGCTTTTCAACTTGATGGATATGGCTTGTTTTTCTGTTCCTTTGGTACTGGTCCAATTGACCAACCCCTAAACCTCGAAGAAATTAAGTAACGGTAAAACCCTCCCAAAACCCTTGAAGAAGGGAAAGATTGGAAAAAGTACACATATATTGTATTATGCGATTAATTTGCATGAGACGATTATCAGTAAAATTGAGAAAAATCACCTAAAGACATAACTGTTTTTCCTGGACAAAATCTTAGTTGAAAAGGACATAAGATCATACTTCTTGCACTTATAGTAAATTGGCCTCACTGATTTTGCCAGTTGATTCATGACATTGCTTTGTCCTTTTTATGTGCAAGTCACGGAACCACTGTTGTTTCCTCAGGAAATCAGACTTGGATAATGCTGAGTTTTCCAAGTTTCATTCTGGAGTGAAGCGTGGAGATATTGTTGGTATTACGGGGTTTCCAGGTTAGGGATGCTTGTAATGTTATTTATTTTATGTAGAGATTAAATAGAAAACACGGGCTTAATATTACCTGCATGATTTCACCAAATGACCCTAATCCCCATTTTGCTTTCATAAAAAGTAGCATTCTTCCATCCTGACAGGAAAATGGGCATCATATTCAGGTTCAATTTGAAAGTTTATCAGAGGGGAAACATGTAAAATTGAACCAAAGCCCAAAATCTATGGATATATTTGACATTTATCACCATTGTAAACTAGAGCAATGCAATTTAAAGATTGATTGGGCTAGAATCTATGATCCCTTAAGCTCTAACACCTTAAATTAGAGAGAGAGAGAGAGAGAGAGAGAGAGAGAGAGAGAGAAACTTGATATAATGTCGCCAATAGTTGGTTTTACGATGTGTGGTTGTGGCAAGCTTATAGGTTAGGTTTGTAGAGGTAGAAGAAATGTTGCAGGGGGATGAATGGAGAAGCAAAGTTATATGTATATGCTTCTGGACTCCTATTTCTACTTCCCTTTTTTTTTTTTTTTTTTTTTGGGTTTTAGGTTGGTAAGGGGTGTATTCGTACTTATATTTGACTTCAACTCAAAAATTGGAAATCTGAAAATTTTGACTGAGGAAGATATTAGTTCCATTAAAGCAGGTCATATAATGACCTAAAACCCACTTGATCCATATTAAGACCCATGTACTAGAAAAAAAATCCACCTAAAGTACTGTTGGCCTTTGTTAATGTGAATAAAAGTATACCACCAGCTTATTGAATATTGACTTATTACTAACACTTTATTCATTTTAAGACTGATGGACTGTAACAACAATCAATGGCCTTCAACTCTAGAAGTTACCATCGTACCCTTGTACTTTATAACTTCTAAACATTAATGAAATTATACCACTAGCAATGCCGAACACAGGGGTGGGGGCATTAGGGGCACCAGTTCTTACTCCAGTTTAAGAAGTTTGAGGGTTTTTTTTTTTTAAATTTTGATAAATTTAAATTTTTGTTCATTTTCTTGACTTCTCTGTGGGCTTCTGTGTCAAAGTAATTTGACGATATTCATTTTTTTTGCATTACCTCTAGTTGGAAAGGATTATGTGGAATGTAGTTTTGTTTTCTTTGCGTATAATTTTCTTTTTTGATTTGTCTTTGGTTTGGAATACTGGTCCACTATTGACTAACTTTTGGAATCTTTTATATTATTAATGATATTATTGTTTACTATCAAAAAACAAGAAATTTAAATTTTTGAGGAGTTTGCCACCATTTGAAAAGTATGAAAAAATTTCTGGTATTGTATTATAGAAAATATAAAGGTTTGATGATCAAATTCCAACAGTAGTGATTAATATTGACATATTTGATTTGTTCCAAATACGAAATAATTTGGAATTTGATATTTTTGACCAATTATTTGACTCCGAATTTGAATATGGTCTATCATATTTCTCGGATTCAGGTTTGTATATACCAAAATTTAATCCAATTGTTATCAATCAATGCATATATACAATTTTGTGATCAAATGTTCAATTTTCATTAGATTTTGATCTGGACTAAAAAAATTAAATTTCTTGGATAATTGGATGAGATTCAAATTGGATTTGATTAAAAAATCAATCTAAATCCTACTATTGACAAGTTTGCTCACCATTTGCTTGGGAGTCTCAATGAGTTTTGATGATTGTCGTGATGGTTCTCTTCACCCTAATGGTTGCCCAGCTATGGAGAAATCCAACTGGTGTATTGACCTAGTACGAACAAAAAATAAGACTTCAGCTAATGTTGAACTTACCTTAATGCCATTGTGTTGGTTTTCTAGAATTGAGTGAAAAAATTCGCATTTGTCCCTTTTCTTGTTTACGTGCTCATAATTTTCTCGTGGTTCCAAGGTTGTGACCCTTTTGGTTTTTCTGTGTTTTTGATACCTGCCAATATTTGTAAATCAATGAACAATAGGATATAATTGTGTGAAAAATATTGGTTTGTTTAGATTGCATCTCAGAAAATAATATCTGAAAACATGTTCTTTAGAAAAGTGTGTTCTGGTATTTTTGTATCGAAAAACTTTTTTGGTTATATGATTTCAAAAATAATTTTACTGAACAGAAAACAGTAAAATTTCTTTGAATCGAGTGTTTTATATAATGTTTTTTAATATATTAAACTTTGGTAAAATAAAAAAAAATATAAAAAGGAGAAGAGATTTTCTGCCGTCGAAAAAAATTCTAGATTTGAAGTTGTCATAGCAACCATTAATGGAGGCTGACCCCAATGCTCAACTTGTGTTGGTTGTGGCCACGTGACCAATGGTCCAATAGATTGAACAGTAAAGGATGATCCAGATTTGAAAAAAATCTAGATCTAAAAAAAAAAAAAAATTAGATCTGAAGCAATTTGCCGGAGAGCTCTCAGTCGGTAGAGGAGACGATCTCCAGGAGAAGACGCATATTTTTTCGATTTTCTTATGTAATTGGGCAATCATTGAATCATGTATGGTACTTATTGCTTCAAATTTACAATTTAGGGATCCATAGAAGCATAGAATTGTAAAGGCCCCTCAATTTCTTAATTACAATTTGTTAAGATTATGTGCTAATCTAAGGAAAACTAAGGTCTTGTTTGGCAGTTGTCGGAAAGAGTTTTAAAAAAGTGTATTTTGGTATTTTTTGTGTCGCAGAACTTGTTTGGTGAATGATTTCAAAAACAGTTCTACGGAATAAAAAATAGTAAAATTGTTTGGACAATAACCTAAAAAACAATGAAAATAAAAATGGGGTGGTGGTGTTGTTGTTGCTGTTGTTGGTGGTAGTTTCGAAATTCTGGAAAAGGATCTTGTTTAGTTTGTATATAAAAATTGTTTTCTGTTTTTGAAAACAGTTTCCGGGAGAAAAGCTGTGAGGCCGGTTGTTTTTTGTTTTTGTTTTTTGGAAATTGAAAACAAAAAGTGGTTAAATTTAGAAAACAAATTATAACTATTTTGTGATTTTTTGGAAACTTTTTCAGAATTTAAAAAACACCACCACCACACTTCCACCAGCCACTACACTTCCACCACCCATCACTTGCCACCACACCACCACCACCACCACGTCCACCATACCACCACCATCACATCACAACCACACTTCCACTATCACCACATTTCTGTTTTCATTGTTTTGTGGATTGCTGTCCAAACAAGTTTTACTGTTTTATATTCTGTAAAAAGAATCATATAACCAAATAAGTTTTGTGACACAAAAAATATCAAAAATAATTTTCTAAAACTCTTCTCAAAAATAGTTTTCGAATACTATTTTTTGAGACCCAAACCAATCAGGGCAGTTGTTTTTAATAACACACAAAATTGTCTTAACTTGTTCTCTAAATCTATCTACTTTTTGTCCTCAAAAACAGTTGGCCAAATAACTCTTCTCCCAAAAACTATTTCCAAAAATAGAAAAACATTTTTTGAGATGCAAACCAAATAGAGCCTAAAATTTTTGACAAACTCAAAAATTCTAGTTTTGAAAGATTTTGTGCGTTCCAGAAAGATTAGAAGGAATTCTATCAATCTCAACATAAGAAAGCTGCTGAAAAGTGTCCTAACACTGACTTAGTAATACTTCCATNAATTTAAAGATTGATTGGGCTAGAATCTATGATCCCTTAAGCTCTAACACCTTAAATGAGAGAGAGAGAGAGAGAGAGAGAGAGAGAGAGAGAGAGAGAAACTTGATATAATGTCGCCAATAGTTGGTTTTACGATGTGTGGTTGTGGCAAGCTTATAGGTTAGGTTTGTAGAGGTAGAAGAAATGTTGCAGGGGGATGAATGGAGAAGCAAAGTTATATGTATATGCTTCTGGACTCCTATTTCTACTTCCATTTTTTTTTTTTTTTTTTTTGGGTTTTAGGTTGGTAAGGGGTGTATTCGTACTTATATTTGACTTCAACTCAAAAATTGGAAATCTGAAAATTTTGACTGAGGAAGATATTAGTTCCATTAAAGCAGGTCATATAATGACCTAAAACCCACTTGATCCATATTAAGACCCATGCACTAGAAAAAAAATCCACCTAAAGTACTGTTGGCCTTTGTTAATGTGAATAACAGTATACCACCAGCTTATTGAATATTGACTTATTACTAACACTTTATTCATTTTAAGACTGATGGACTGTAACAACAATCAATGTCCTTCAACTCTAGAAGTTACCATCGTACCCTTGTACTTTATAACTTCTAAACATTAATGAAATTATACCACTAGCAATGCCGAACACAGGGGTGGGGGCATTAGGGGCACCAGTTCTTACTCCAGTTTAAGAAGTTTGAGGGTTTTTTTTTTTTAAATTTTGATAAATTTAAATTTCTGTTCATTTTCTTGACTTCTCTGTGGGCTTCTGTGTCAAAGTAATTTGACGATATTCATTTTTTTTGCATTACCTCTAGTTGGAAAGGATTATGTGGAATGTAGTTTTGTTTTCTTTGCGTATAATTTTCTTTTTTGATTTGTCTTTGGTTTGGAATACTGGTCCACTATTGACTAACTTTTGGAATCTTTTATATTATTAATGATATTATTGTTTACTATCAAAAAACAAGAAATTTAAATTTTTGAGGAGTTTGCCACCATTTGAAAAGTATGAAAAAATTTCTGGTATTGTATTATAGAAAATATAAAGGTTTGATGATCAAATTCCAACAGTAGTGATTAATATTGACATATTTGATTTGTTCCAAATACGAAATAATTTGGAATTTGATATTTTTGACCAATTATTTGACTCCGAATTTGAATATGGTCTATCATATTTCTCGGATTCAGGTTTGTATATACCAAAATTTAATCCAATTGTTATCAATCAATGCATATATACAATTTTGTGATCAAATGTTCAATTTTCATTAGATTTTGATCTGGACTAAAAAAATTAAATTTCTTGGATAATTGGATGAGATTCAAATTGGATTTGATTAAAAAATCAATCTAAATCCTACTATTGACAAGTTTGCT